GAGGGTTGGATGGGTTATGCAAAAAGGCCACAATGTTTTCAACTGTTTGGTTATTACCCATCAACCTTAGGGGCCAGGGACATTTTTTGAGCCAGCTAGACTGTTTTTGCCTGCCCTGCTCAGTTTCCTGATTCCATCAGGCCTGATTCCTCTTGTTCATTTTATTGCCATGAATGAGAATTATCAGCTTTCTGAGCATCTGCATCAGCATCAGGTGCCACAGAGACTCTTGCAAAGCCATCTGGAGGGAGAGGTGACCAAACATGAGGCCCAGGAGTGGGTCAGACATGACATCTGAGGTGATGAGTACATGCTTTCTCAAAACTGCTCCCTTGCATTGAGGGCCTAACCCTAACCCCTGAAGGAAGACTTCCTTCTGTGCCTGGTAGGCTCTGGAACTTGCTAGGTCAGTAGGATATAGTATAGGGATTATGACGTCAAACTGATCTCTATTAGAATTCCAGCTGTGCCACTCACTAGCTCAGGAGAGTCACCTAACTTCTTTTGGTCTCCATTTTCCTGCCTGTGCAATGAGGGTCATGCTTGTTCTTAACTTGCAGAGCTGTTGTGATAATTGAATGAGAGAGTGAGGTAATGCACATACAGAACTTAGCGCAGGGCCTGGCNTGTTGTCAGCACCACGCTCAGCCAGTGGGCGAACCGGCCATCCCTATATAGGATCCGAACCCGGGGCCGTGGTGTTATCAGCACCGCACTCTCCCGAGTGAGCCACGGGCTGGCCCAAACTGATCTCTATTGGAATTCCAGTTGTGCCACTCACTAGCTCAGGAGAGTCACCTAACTTCTTTTGGTCTCCATTTTCCTGCCTGTGCAGTGAGGGTCATGCTTGTTCTTAACTTGCAGAGCTTTTGTGATAATTGAATGAGAGAGTGAGGTAATGCACATACAGAACTTAGCGCAGGGCCTGGCACACAGTAGGTGCTCAGTAAATTAAAGCTTGTACTCAGACCAGGAAGCTTGGTTTTCTTTTGTTGCTGTCTTTGCTCTCTTCCCCGTCCTCACTACTAAAATAAAACAAAAAGTCTGAAGAGCTCCAGCTCATCTTTTTCTAATAACTAATGGTGAGGTTGGTGCATGGGATGGTGACTCCTCAGCCCCCTGCCTCTCTCTCTCGTCGCCAGCAGCCCCAATAAGCGAGGCCCGCCCACGTACAACGAGCACATCACCAAGCGCGTGGCCTCCAGCCCAGCGCCACCCGAAGGCCCCAGCCATCCCCGGGAGCCAAGCACACCCCACCGCTACCGTGAAGGGCGGACAGAGCTGCGCAGGGACAAGTCTCCTGGCCGCCCCCTGGAGCGGGAGAAGTCCCCGGGCCGGATGCTCAGCACGCGGAGGGAGCGGTCCCCCGGGAGGCTGTTTGAAGACAGCAGCAGGGGCCGGCTGCCTGTGGGAGCCGTGAGGACACCACTGTCCCAGGTTAACAAGGTGAGACAACATCCCGAAGCTTGTGTGTATGTTGTGGGGGCCAGAGGAGTAACTTGGGGAGCTGAGGT